AGAGCTAAAGCCTCAATCCTACAGAGCTAAAACTTCAATCCTATTAAAAAGACACTTCCATATTGAGCATGTGTACAGTTTCTCATGCACACAAGCAAGGGAAAGTTAGAAACAGGAAAGCAGAGAGACTGCATAGATGCCAGACGCACAGGATGGAAAGAATTAGCTGGCATGGAATTTTAAGGCGTAAAAATCACATGAAGAGGGCTAAATCACAGATGTAGCTACAGCATGATTTCTGTAATAATTCTTAACTAAACTGGAAGTATTCCTTCCCTCTTAGGTCCCACATAAGAACAGCCTGCTTCCCATTTGTATCTGGCTGCCAGGGGAAGCATTTGGCCTGCAGTTACATTTTGTCAGCTCAGAAGGGGAATTCTGACACCCAAAATGACAATTAGTTCAACTGGAACAGTAGCTCACATATGGAAATGATTCACCCTTTATTCTACATAGGCACTAAGTTTATTACAACCGAATTTACTATAAAGATTCAATATTTTAAACCGAATCAACTTCGGCATTTCTTGAAAGGATTTACAAAATTATAAACCCTTAATTGAAGGAAGCAGGGTCCAGTACTGCAGACTGGACACAGACCAAGTTCACATCACAGCTCTGGCATACTTCATACCAGATTTGTCCAGTTCTTTTTTAAGGGAAAAACTCTAAGTAATACCTTGAAATTATAACATAGCGTATGCCAAAAAGTCCAAAGCAGTTCCCTAGGGGATGCACAAAAGTATTTTACATCAACTCACATCAGATGGAGAATAGTTCTGTTCAGCTCAGCCCTTACCCCAGCTTCTACCTGATGTTTCAGGTGGACAGACCAAAAAAATACAAACAGAGAAATTAAGTAAAATTTGGAGGCTTGTAACAAACAAACAAACAAACAAAAAAAAAAAAGTACGAAAATAAAAGACAAAGCTGCTTGATCCAGCATTACACTCTCATGAGTTACTTCTTTCAGTGAAGATAACAGGCTTTAACTTAATGCTGTCCTATATCACAACACTAAAAGAAAACTCATCTGCGAAGATGAAACTGCAACATCAAGAAAGGACTTGCTAAAACAGTCAGGCAATACACAAGAAAGTAACCTCTGCCACAAAATCTTTATTTTCTGAACTAGTTTAAGCAATATCTCAAATGATATCCCTGCATTTGGAAGAAAGAAACACCCTAAATAACAAAAGCAACTAAGAGAAGAATCTTTAGCTGTTACATTATTTCACCAGGGGAGAAACTATACTCCTGAAACCCAAAAGGGAGGTTCTAGTTATCAAAACTCAACTCCAGAACTTACTATATCCCTCAAGAACGCTTAAGTAGTCAAAGAACATTGCATCAGATGAGCCTTGTTATTCCAAAGGAGAAGTACAAGATCCATGCTTCTTCATAAACATGTAAAAAACATGGCAGAGAACAAGCTATTGGTTTGTTAATGATGTTGCTTAACGCACTGCTGCAAAGTGTCTATATGCTGCGCTGAGAATTAACGTAGCTATCACTAAACACATTCAGCCACTTGGTCATGTTGCCAGGAAACTGCTGCCAGTGGCAGCCTGCTATATGGGAAAGATTCCTCAGCAGTCATCATCCCACCCCCCAACAGAACAAATTTCTCTGTGAGTTTTTTTTTTTTAAATCACTGCTGATCCATGTACCTAAAAATTATCTTTTCCTTATAAATAACATTCTATAATATAAGCAGCTGAGTCGGTTGTTCCTCAAGGGTAGTAATTTAATGGCTTTTTCTATTTCAGACTACAATTCACAATTTGTTTGGTCGGTACATCTACTATATTATGCTAAGCGCTAGCCAAAAAGCTCTCTTCCAGTCCTTTGGGGTACAGCTTCTGACTAAGAGATAGAGGTTGTATCATAAAAAGTACAGTTATTTTTTTAAATAAAAATCTAGGCCTAGTCAAAGAAGAAATTGGAATTAATTTTGATAGCACTGCTGGAGGATCCAGCACTCTCTTCTCACGACTTCTGTAACAGCAAGGCTCCCTTCTTTTTGGCAGGTATATTTTGAAACCTGAGTCCCATTACCTCATTTTTTGAAAGCTGAGCCCCACTACCAACTTCTTCAGAAATGAGGCTCACCCAGTGCCTAGTTTGGGTTTTTTAAAAAGCAAATCATTAAAAGAAACAGGCTTCATTTGAATGACACTTGTGGAATCCTCTTCTACATAAAAAAGCAGCTACCAGATAAATAAAAAAAAGAAATCAGGGTCTACAATGTCAAAAATTTGTCAAACAGTGACATCTAGATGCATTTTCTCATTCTCTGCTGATGCCACTGCAGTTATTAACAGAAATGTATCTGGATTTTGAAACAAGTGGAGTGCGATGATTTGCAGTTGCTTTTATATATAATTATGCATACCAAGTAACTAGCACAGTCAGTGCTTTTATACCTTTGAAAATAAACTGGCTACTCAGTGCCAAGCCTAGGCTCCTGCCTTGGACACACAACAGGCCAGAATATATTTAAAAATATGCTTAAATGCTGCACATAGAATTGTTTAAAAAGTGTTAAGTCAAACACCGTCAATAACTTTGGGGGGTGTCAGACACCATCTCCTAGGTGACTACCTGGCTCAGATAGCATCCTTAGCAGGGTAACAGTTACGTTACTCAAAAGATTTTTCTCTTCTTCAAAGCCTGTTCTCCCACCTTCCCTCCTCTAGTCAAAATAAGAAGCTCCAGCTTGCTGTCTGACACCTCGCTCAGCCTGGACAGCCGGGCAGAACCTGCGGCACTCTAGGAAAACTCCACTTCTTCTCCCTGAAAAGGATCTGACCACAGCAGCCAAGAACTATAGCCTCTGAAAGAGGGCATGACAACTTGCTTGATCTGAAGGTAAAAACACAAAAGCTCCAACTTATGTTAGATGCAACTGTTCACCTCTTCCACAATTCGGGTTTTATGCTTCAGCCTTCCAATGGGGCATTGATATCTTGATCAAAATGATCAAAACTGAAAAATATGTCAGCTACATTTAAGAGAGCACTCCAAATTGCAAGACAACAGTAACAATCTCAGACAACATGAAGCACACAAGGACTCAGTGGAAAGGAAGACACAGGTTTGGAAAGAGCTTCCAGGAATGAATCCTGATTCAGGCCACTCTCTCAGGGCAAAACCACATTTCTGCTTAATAAACTATACTACCATAATAAGACTTACACACATGAGTCCAGCTGCTTCGTGTTGCTGCACCAATCCACAAACTTCCACTTACTGCTTCTGCCAAAAACATCATCTTCAACTGAGCTTTTTTATAACTTAGAAGTCTTTTTTACTCTTCCCCCTCCCCTTTTTATTTTTTAACGGCTACTGTCATAGGGCCTCCAAATACAGGCTGCTGATTTCAAGAAGATTACCCACAAAGCACTGACAATTCTGTACTAAAAACCGTGCTATGCTCCCTTGCTTATATCCACCTCTTCAAGGGTACTCCCTACTCAATAAATCATGAGTTCCATGAGCAAAGCAGTACCTCAAGCCACACATGCAACTCTGTATCTCTCATCAGCAGGCAATGAGAAAGGGAGTTGGACTTAAAAAAAAAAAATTGTAATTTAACATCGGTCATAAATGGCTCAACTCAACTGCAAAATGATACACTGAGTTAAATCTGCTGCTGCTCTTTACATTCTTGCTGCAAAGTCCGTGCTTCCACATCCCATTTAGCTTCACCAGCTGGTCAAGAATAAAAACATCTAAAAAATGTAATGAAACAAATTTCAGCATATCTGCGAGTAGAGTATTAACTCTCAAAACAGTATGCTTAAATAGTCTCTTGTCTTTAAAAAACACACTACAAGAACTGCAGTTGGCTTATCTGAAAAAGAAATTACACGACTTCCTAATAAAAAGCAGTTGCAGGTAATTTAAACGTTGTAATTAATGGACACTAGGAGTAACAGAATTTGAAATTACTTTCTAAGGACAGATCTGGAAGAGGCCCAAAGTAATACATAATATTAAAAAAAAAAAAAAATCTGGTTTAGCCTTGGATTTTTTGAACTACATTCGATTCAACATACTATGAAAGAACTGGAAAAACAAACAGCTTTATTGACGTCCCCAGCCATTATACATTTTGTTAAAGGCGATATAATTTAATTTAAGCCATTCTAATTGCCAAAGAGCACTCGCTAGTAGAAAAGGGTTTCTTCAGCTCTCAAAAACTTCTTCCCACTTCTCCAGGTCTCAGGTGCTCCAGCTGCCCTACAATCTGTGGGGTCTCAGAGTGAAGTGTTTTCCTGGTGGGCAGCACTGGTAAGCGAAGCAGACAGTAGGAGTTGGAGAAGTTTGGCATGGTGAGAGACTTTCAATGCATGAGATGCCTGATACGCAGCTGTGAGCCTCCTCAAAGAGTCGATGCTTCAGAACTGCCCTTTACCAAGTAAATGCCACAAAAGCACAAATCAACAGGCTGGTGCAGGATGGTGGGGACAAGTTCTGCCCATAATCAGAAAAAGGGGTCAGAAAGCAATATAGTTTTTCAACTCAAAGAATAGTCATCTATACTCAAGAGACACCCAAGAGCAAACAGCAATATGGAAGAACAAGTAGCAAGAAAATGTAGCGGTCCTAGTGTCCCTTGTCCATCTCAAACCAGCATAGAAAACAAACAGCTTTTTCTATCACCAGAAGATAGAAATGTGTACTGACAGTCTGTTAATTGCTTTTACAACTAGAAAAGAGACTGTACACTTGCTATAGTCTGCTGTCTCTGCCCAAGTATCTCAGAGAAGCAACAGCACACAGCAATATTGTCAATGTATTTTTCTAGTTTTTAGAGTACACTTTTACATGAAACTTAGAATTTTCACAACAAATTTCAAAGAAATAGGGTACTATAAAGAAAAAAATAGAGTAAGTAATTAATAAAAGCATCCACCATCACACATAGTTTGCATCTAACCAATGTCAAGTGTCAGATACAACAGAAATGGCCTACAGAGACCAAGCATGCTTACCTCTGTATTTGGTTGTAGTGGCTGTCCATCCTGGGCTGCAGATGGTACTATTGCCCACGTAATGTTGGCACTAGCAGATGATAAGGAGCTGAGGGCACCATTTTTCAGTTGCTCTGTGGAGTGTGACTTGGGCCCAGGCCATCCCAGGATACCTTCTGAAGCAGAAAATGGGTGTCAACTTACAAGAGACAGATTACAGATTTCTTCCATTCATCTCATCACTCTAGTAATGTAAATGAACTTCTATCTCTTCTCTGCTTCCATGCACAGTTTTACTTCAGTAACAAAAATGCTCTAGCATCTTCTATGCCAATCTATCTGTGATAAATATTTTTTTAGAAATCAATGAAAGAAGATTTTAAAATCTCCACCAGATAGAATTATTCATAAAAATCGTATAACTTGGCACGCCTTGGTAATTTAGCAAGTATTCTCTATCCAGTATTTTAATAGTTATGAAGTTATCCAAGTAAACATTCTTGATATAGTGCAGGTGTTTGCCACACCTTATAAATATGGATCAGTACCAGAAGGGTGACTAATCATCTAGCTTTTGCACCAGATCCCAGTCCAAAGGCTAGTTCAGGCAATATGCTCCCGATCCCTCCATTTCTTCTGCCTGAAATCAGAGTTTTCACCTTAGCAGCTGTATTTTATTTCACAGAATCATTAAGTTTGGAAAAGAACTTCATGATCATCAAGTCCAACCATCAACCCAACACCACCATGCCCACTAAACCATGTCCCAAAGTGCCACGTCTACACATTTTTTTAATACTTCCAGTGATGGTAACTCCACCACCTCCCTGGGCAGCCTGTTCCAATGCTTGACTACTCTCTCAGGAAAGAAAAGTTTCCTAATATCCAATCTAAACCTCCCCTGGCACAACTTGACGCCATTTCCTCTCGTCCTGTCACTAGTTACTTGGGAGAAGAGACCAACACCCACACCACCACAACCCCCTTTCAGGTAGTTGTAGAGAGAGTGATGAGGTCTCCCCTCAGCCTCCTCTTCTCCAGACTGAAGAACTCCAGTTCCCTCAGCTGCTCCTCGTAAGACTTGTTCTCCAGACCCCTCACCAGCTTTGTTGCCCTTCTCTGGACATGCTCCAAGCAACTCAATGACCTTCTTGTAACGAGGGGCCCAAAACTGAACACAGTATTCGAGATGCAGCCTCACCAGGGCCGAGTACAGGGGCACGATCACTTCCCTACTCCTGCTGGCCACACTATTCCTGATACAGGCCGGGATGCTGTTGGCCTTGGCCACCTGGGCACACTGCCGGTTCATGTTCAGCCGGCTGTCAACCAGCACCCCCAGGTTCTTTTCCTCCAGGCAGCTCTCCAGCCACTCCTCCCCAAGCCTGTAGCATTGCATGGGGTTGCTGTGACCAAAGTGCAGGACCCAGCACTTGGCCTTATTAAACCTCATACAGTTGACCTCAGCCCATCGATCCAGCCTGTCCAGACCCCTCTGCAGAGCCTTCCTGCCCTTGAGCACATCAACACTCCCACCCAACTTGGTATTGTCTGCAAACTTACTGAGGGAGCACTCAATCCCCTCATCCAGATCATCGATAAAGATATTGAACAAGACTGGCCCCAAAACTGAGCCCGGGGGAACACCGCTTGTAACTGGCTGCCAGCTGGATTTAGCTCTGTTCAGCACAACTCTCTGGGCTCGGCCATCCAGCCAGCTCTTTACCCAGCGAAGGGTACTGTCTGTACTATTAGAAGCTCTTTCTAGATTAAGTGCTAGAATGCTTTAACTGGTCCCAAAACCACAGTTTAGAAGAGGTCTCATTAGAAAGATAAACATTAAATATGAATCAAACAGAAGTAGACATCAGAACAACCCTTATTTCTGGGGGCACCTGATTTTCAGGGCAGGCTGGTATTTAAGCGTGCCAAGACAGAAAGAACGATCAGCTAAGGTGGCTGCACAGTTGTTCCTCCCTTACTGCTCTAAAAACACAGTATCAACATTCAAATCAGTGGCCCTCAGTATAGGGTTTAAATTTCAGCTACTAATTACACGCTGCTATAAAATGCAGAGATATGGATACAAAAATCGCAGCTCTTCAGTCATTATCATAATTCATATATGAAAATACAATCAGTGCCACAGGGAGGATGTCCTCTCACCAGCGGCAACTTTTTAAGATGATCCAAATCAACACAAAGTACATTAAAGAACACACAATTTCTCCTCTTCATAACACCAGGGGTTACCAGAGGTTTCCTCCTAGCTAAAGTAAATGGTCTGATCCGGTGAGGTAATGCCGTGTACTATTATATTAACACTTATATTATTAAAAAATGGGCCACAAATCCTATAGCTGACCTCTTACCAAATTCTAAAGATAAAATAACTAGAGAACATTCCTCTCATCTAAAATGGCACTGAGTTACAATGACATGAAAAAACTTCAAGTGTACTTGCTTAGTGTGTGATTTTGTGGCACCATCTTTTGCTGAAGAAAGAATAAGCAAATAGTTATGTATAAAATTATTCTCAAAGGTCTGAGTAACCACCAGAGAACCCAGCTCTTTTTATTTTTTTAATGTATATTTCATACAATTACTCAAATTTCCCACAAAGGAAGAACATCTCTTTGGCTCTGCAGTCAAGCTACATACTGCAAAGCTTTTTGGGTTTCAATGACTTCGAGGACTATGGCAGTAGATGTTATAAATCCTGGTCGAGTTATATGAACCATGTGAGAGAAAATGCAAGTATCAAACAAAAGGTCATTTTCTTGGATAGGGTCTACATTTGGTCCTACACATCAGGAAGCTAACAGCTCCCCCCGTTCCAGGGATGGAGTTAAATCAACACATGCTATTGGTATACATGGCAAGGAATGAAGAGCACAGTGACTGTAGTCATAGTAGCTCTTTGCTTGCTCCTCAGGTCTTGAGCAATTTGCTGGTAGGAGCAAAGGATAACCCCAGATCCCTCAAAACAATCTCCGATTCAGAGGATAATCTGAAGATTGTTTTGGCAGATCCAAAATGGACTCTCACTCTTCATGGGAGGAAGAAAGCATACCATCAGCATGAACAATAAAACTGATGTGGAAAATCTTGAATAAAAATGTTGGTTCCTTGGAGGGAATTCACATGTCTGTAAACCGTTAAAAAATTTTCAGTCTTTTTGATATTAATTAGTACAGATTTCAGAGGGTAAAAAAAAGGCAGGAAGTTAAAATAAACTTGTTTTACTTTTGAAGAGCCACAAAGAGTTTTATGGAGTGTGCCTATGCTTCTCACTCTTCATTACTTTGCAGTAACAAATCTCAATCTATTTTTCTGTCTCCGTCAAACAGCTGAATATTGGATTATTGCTGTTATTTTGCTATTACAGAGAGACTTAAAAAAAAAAAATTGAACGGACTTCTCTTTATGCCAATCTTTAAAAATCAGTCACCCAATCATTTCCTTGGGCTATCCATTTTCTCTCTGCACATACGATCTATTTAGCCTTCAGTGTAAACAATTATTTTTTAAATTAGTATTCTTTTTTAAAAAATCAAAGTTCTGTAAATAAGCACAAGAAAAAGCCCCCACTTAAATAAATACCTCGCTTCAGGGGAAATTTTTATGTATGAACATTTACTTCACCATCACTTACATATTTTTAAGAACAATATACTAGTTTTCCTCTTCAGTACAAACACACTGTAAAAAGACAATTTACTTCATCTTTCTCCACGTTTTACTCTCTTACAGGAATAGAAACTATTAGAACTATGCAAGCATGTTTTTCCACCTATCTCAAGGGCAATATTACCCCCACAAAATAACAAATCTTGTCAGCTTAATCAATTTTTAAACAGATCTTAACAACACACGATGACCTAGCCAACACCAATACAATGCCAAGAGTTAAGGTCCATCTGTTTCCTCAACACGTCTGCATATGAGAAAAATTGTTTTGTTAAATTCTGTCAGTCTGGAAGTTGACTACTTTGCAGGAGGAGACATATGCAGTAAAAAATACTAGTCATACACCACAGAAACCTAAATAAATAAAAAGTCAGTTCTCTGAACAAGTTGAAAAAATTCCATGCCTCATTTCAAAGTGCCATCAGGGAACCTTTGATGATCTTTAATCTACAAATCTTACTTTGAGATATCAGTATTCTTGTTGGGAGTTGCCATATACCTAATATAGCAGCCTACTTTTCAGGCAAGAGCAAAGTATGAAAAGCAAACTCATCAGAAATAATCTTAGAATCAACTAAGATCAGAATACAACCTCTATACAGAAACTGAGAGGACACAGTAACACGGCTCCTACTTCATTCACATTATCAGTTGTACATCCAAAACATTCTCATCTGCACTAGTAGAAATTACTCTTACCACAAAATAGTACAGGTAGTTGTTCCCTGTCCCATATCAAATAATTTTATTTTATTGGAATTTACTCTCCCCCGACTAAGCTGCCATCTGTAAATAACGTGATCCACTCTAATGGAATTACCATCTTTGCCACTTTATGGCACTCGAAATTTTCTATCACTAGTTCATTTCTGCTCTTTTAAAGATTTTAGGAAGAAAAAGATATAAAAGCTAAACATATTATGAGAGAGAAAGTTTATCTTCAAAGTTGGATAAGAATAGGAAGAAATTGCTGTCACTGTTTTGTTTTTAAGCCATATTTTTGCTCTGTTCTCAGCCACAGCCAAAGACAGCTGACAGAAAGGTAAATTCAATTCTTACACATTTCATAATTCTAAAGAAATTCTCCAGAAAGGCAGTCACAGATGACACAACAGCATTCACAGCTACACAGCTACTTTACAATATGCTTTAAGACTATGCAAAACACTACATTAATTAAAACAAAATATCTGTTTCTGCAGTAAACTATGCAAAAATAAGAAAGGATGTCGCAAATACAGACTAACAAAATCAGCCAGATCGTGTCTGCCTGCATTGTTGTTGGTTCTGTGGTTCCAAGAGTGAAAACCCAAGCCCGATTCCTCTGGAAGTTCAGTGCATATGTACACAGAAAATGAGAGTCCTTGCAGAAAATACCCAAAAATTAGCTTCTTGCCTACCTCCCTGAACTCCGATTTCCACTATGATGAACAGGCAGCAGAGAAATCCACCAAGGCACCGGAGATCGCTTCTACATAAGAATAGT